CCCATTTTTTTTTTATTTCAAATACATTGTCCCCCGGGGGCCGGGGCCCCCGTTTGGTCCCCAAAAAACCCCTTTTTGGGAGGGGGGGGCCAATAAACCCTTCAGGGCCCAAAAGGCCCTGGGAAAAACAGTTTCGCTTTCCCGGGAAATCAATCCCGTTCCCCCCCTTTGGGAAAATTTTTTCAGGGGGCCCCTTTTCCCTTTTTGGGGGGAATCCAAAAACCCCAAACCCTTTTTTTTTTTGTTTCAATTTTCCCCCGGAAAGGGGCTGTTAGGTGGTTTTTACCCCCAAAAGTTTTTCGGGGGAAAACCCTTCCCCCCCCCCCCCCCCCCCCCACGCCCCACGCCCACTCACGCAGCTACTGAGCCCTCCGCGTGTACAGAATGGGCAAGTCAAGATCAAGTTTCCGTTTAAGAAAATGAAGCTCAAAGTTTCACAAAAAAAGAAAATCGGGTTAATTTCTCAGCGGCGGATCCTACACCACGTAAGCTCTATGGTATGTGGCAACCTGTGCTCGACGATGGTAATACGAACAAGTGAAATTGAGCCACAACTCTGAAAGGATATATGTATGCATATGGACGTTTGTTACCTCCGAGCCGATTGATCCTGTATGCATGTACGCGCACAAAAATGGGTCCACACACAACAGTAGTCGCCGCAGCATGTCGTTCATCGCGCATCGTCCGGCGCTTGATCAAAATCCGTCAAGTGCTGCGAGCAAACGTCGCTCTCGTGACTGGGCAGGAAAAACAAAAAGAAAGATGCAGCTCAACACAAAACTGTCAACACTCCGGAATACGTAGTTTACTTGGTTTCTGTTTACTGACGTAACCATAGAAAGAAAAAAGAAAACGTTCTGACCTGCCTGTAGTATCCAGCGCCTTTTTCGTCTGTACTCACAACTGCTGCTCGTAAAGAAGGGCAAACAGACAAAATTCCTGGGCCACAACTGCTTAACCCTACGTATGGGACAACTACCATAAAACAAAGATTCATATGTAGGACCCACAAAGAAGAAATTCAAAAACACTTGATCGCCAAAAAATAAAAACAGTTTCTAGAAAAAAGCAAATGGCATGAAAAAGGCGAATACACGAAATCAACATCGGTTCCCACTTCACACGCCAACAGCACAGCCACCGCCTGTCATGCCGTCAAGAGAGGATGTAGACCATTCCATACTCAAACGCGTGTACTTCGCGCAACAGCTTTCATGCCAACGGCATATTTATTTCGTATATTTCACAGTAGTGGCTGGCACGTGAGGAGAGACGCCAGTTAAAATGTCTTCTGACAGATGCGGACGACATGCATGGCTTGCACGCAACTTTCTCCGATCTCCCAAAAATAACCGTCCTGTTGCGCAAACGAGCCAGCTCAAAAAACATTTCAACGCGAGGTAGTTCTAAGTCGCTCGCGAGCGCGCCTCGCATACCTCAGGATGACGCGCCCGCGGACACCGCCTACTAAGAAAAAACTGCACTCCTTGTAAAAGGCAGGTACATAACATTGCCGTCTGCGGATCCCCCACACCAACAAAATTGCCAACTCCGACAATCGCCGCGAGGACTGGAGACGGTACACACGGTAGCTCACAGCCCGCCACTCAAGCCCAAGAACAAAGAGAACGGAGGAGGCGCGTTTGCCTCTATTTTATCTGTGTGCTCGGGACGTGCGGTGGCAATCAACGCATGCTTGTATCGTGTGCAACACCCGTGTGCAACACCGTGAAAGAGATAAAAAGGTGACGTCATCACGACAAGGCACGCCCTCACCAACTGCTGCTGCTGTGCTGTACACCAGCATTCCCGTTGTCCCCGGGGCACTCAACACTAACATATGCACAACGGAATAAAACTACCCTCTTGTTCTGACGCTCAGCAGGCGCAACTACCGCTACCCTCGAAAAGTATTACCTGTTGCACCAGAGCATCTCTTCGCTGCTTTGCAAAAGCACCTCTCCGGGCAAGGTATGATAGGAGGGAACGATTTCTCCATCGGTGGTCCGCCCTGTGGCAACATTGCTACGTGCGTCTTCTCGAGGACGCATGGTCAACGTGCAAAACATGAGTACGCCCCTCCCCCCCCCCCCCTTCCATAAAAAAAATCAACACAAACACGGATTTTAAAGACCAAACGAATGCGCTCTCACAACAGGTCACGTTTGTGGCCGGCGGAGGAAGTTGCACACGGCAATCTCAATCAACACACATCTGCTCACGCCAAGCCCACTCCCCTGACAGATCTACACACAAGACAATACGACAACAACGCGCATCATCGACAGAAGAACAAAGGGGCCCAACATTTTTGACGTGACGTGTTCCATGTTCCGCCCAGAAAAAACACCAAACGCAACGTAACTCTCAAGTTCAACGCACATCACACACACACACACACACGTCCGTCGAATGCAGCGTCACCCTCCCCTCCCCCCACCCTCTGACTTTGCGACACTCAGCCCCTTTCGTCTGTTTGCAAAAGCCAAACTCCTCTCTTCGCGACTACCCCCCCCCCCCCGCGTAAACACGACCCCCCGATTAGTGAGGTTTATAATATGGGTGCAAACCC